GTTTTCGGATGCATGTGCTTTATTATGAATCTTAAGGATAATCTTTCAAAATTTCAAGCAAAAGCTGATGAAGGGATTTTTCTTGGATATTCGCATAATTCTGTTGCTTATCGTGTGCTAAACAAACGAACTCGAAAAGTAGAAGAAACGTTTAATGTTACTTTTGATGATTATTATATTAAACAATTTGACAATCATCCTACAAGAAAATCAAACTGAATCTGAAAATATACAATCATTTGATATTGATTATGACTTGATTTTTTGAAATTCAGATTATGCTGCAAATGCTGAATGTCATGCTCCTGATAATCATGTCACTGAAGTTTCAAAACTAAATGATGATTCAACATCATCTCCTCAAACAATGGGCGAAAGTATGCATAATGATCCAGTCAAGGGGGAGTACACGAATTCAAACACTTTACCTGAGGGGGAGCATTCCTTCGAGGGGGAGAATGAAAGGGCATGTGATGATGTTGAAGGGGAGCAATTAAATGATCATATTGAGGGGGGTTAAATCAAAATGATGAAACTTATAATGATATTAATGATGTTGGTTCAATTTCAGGATCTGAAAATGATGAAATGTACGAAGATGCACCTTTGGACTTCGATCCAGCTTATCCACCAATGGACAAATGGACAAAAGATCATCCGAAGGAACAAATAATTGGTAATTCACAAGAAGGAGTTTTAACAAGAGCTCAAATTCGTGCGAGGAATGAGGTATTAAATTCTCATCAAGAATTTTGTATGTTCAACGTTTTTATCTCTAAAATTGAGCCAAAAACAGTTAAGATTGGAAAGGAACACTCAGATTGGGTTGTTGCAATGCAATCTGAATTGTCTGAATTTGAACGAAAGAAGGTTTGGAGGTTAATTCCTAAACCAAATGACGTTTCAATTGTCGGATTAAAATGGATTTTCAAAAATAAAATCGACAAAGATGGAAATATAATTTGAAACAAAGTCAGACTTGTTGTTAAGGGACATTCTCAACAAGAAGGAATTGATTACAAAGAAACTTTTTCCCCTGTTGCAAGACTGGAGGAAGTTCGTATATTTTTGGCTTATGCAGCTCACAAAGATTTTGATGCATATCAAATGGTTTTGAAGTGTGCATTTCTGAATGGAGAACTCGAAGAAACAGTATATGTGGAACAACCTCCAGGTTTTATAAACGAAGAACATCCAGATTATGTTTATATTTTAGATAAGGCGGTTTATGGTTTGAAACAAGCACCACGAGCCTGGTATGAAACTCTTACTTCATTTTTGAAGCAATCTAAATTTAAACAAAGATCAGTTGACCCCACATTATTTTGTAAGAAAGTTGGGAATCATCTAATGCTTGTTCAAATTTATGTTGATGATATTATTTTTGGCTCAACTGACCCTGCTTTATCTAAAGAATTCGAAGATCTGATGAAAAGTAAGTTCGAAATGAGTATGATGGGAAAAATTAATAATTTTCTTGGTTTAAACATTCGTCAAAACAGAGAAGGAATTTTCATAAATCAAGAAAAATACACGAAGAATCTACTCAATAAAGTTTGGCTTGGTGAATAGCATGAAATTATGCATTCCAATGGCAACTGGCATTAAACTCATTCATTCGTTAGATAAACCTGCCTTTGATATAACTTTATACAGAAGCATGATTGGATCTTTAGTTTATTTGACTGCAAGTAGAGCTGATATCATGTTTTTTGTCTGTAATTGTGCTAGGTATCAATTAAATCCTCGAGAACCACATCTCACTAATGTGAAGAATAATTTTCGTTATCTCAAAGGAACATCTTCGCATGGATTGTGGTACCCTTCGAATACCGGATTTTTTATTCAAGCATATTCAGATGCTGATTTGGGAGGATATAATCTGGACAGGAAAAGTACAAGTGGTGGTTGTCAATTACTTGATGGTAAATTGGTAAGTTGGCAATCGAAAAAGCAAACATGTGTTTCTATCTCAACAGCCGAAGCTGAATATGTTGTTGTTGTTGCTTGCACATCACAGATAATATGGATTCAAAGTCAATTACGTGATTATGCGATTAATATGAAAAAGATTCCTTTATATTGTGATTCACAAAGTGCAATAAGAATTTTTCATAATCATGTACAACATTTGAAGACCAAACACATTGCTCTTCGCTATCACTTCATAAAAGATCATGTAGAAGATGGGAATATTGAAGTTCATTTTGTGAAAACTACTGATCAATTGACTGATATGTTCACAAAAGCATTGGATGAAAAATCGTTTGTAAGAATTTTAGAAGGACTTGGAATGGTTGATGGTAATTCTATTTCATGCAAAAAAGGAGATTGACAGTTCACAGACACATCATCAATGGATAAGGTTACTATTCACAATTCACTCTTCGAATGCTTCGAATTCATATGATTGGGATTTTTGTTATTCAAAGATCTGCACCAAGTTACTTTTGTAATTTTTTTTTTGTTTTTTGTTCTTTTTTTTCGAAAACTCAAAAATATCAAAAAGATTTTCATTTTATTTTGTTCTTTCTTTTCGAAAAATCTAAAACAACAAAAAGGATTTTATTTTTTTAAGTATTTTGTTGTAGATTTTCTTGAAGAGATGAAGAGGCAAATGTTCGCAGATTCTAGGGTCAGATATAAATCTCTACTTTTTGAATTTCAAGTACTAGTTAAGATTTCCCTAGAAGCATGTTGTAGCATGTTGTCTAAAGCCTCGAATTGACTCAATGTTCGAAAGCCTAAATGAAATTATTCATGCGAAGATTTCTTCCCAATAAGGCTTACATTCACATTGGTCCAATGAGCTACCTTATTCTTCTCATATGAGTTAAGAGTTTTTTGTTTGGTCCAATATAACAGAGGTACATTCTTTCTAAGGAACCAATCTTTTTCATCTTAAAATTCTTACACTTGCACACGAAGACATATATCCAAGAGGTTTCTGATAAAAAATAATCGAAATCTAGGTATATCACAAATCTGTGTTAATGATCAGTCGTCATGAGACCGCAATGATAGTGAAACCCAAATTTCTGTCCAAATTAAGAAATTGACGGGGAACTATGTTCCAGCTTTAACGAAACTTTTGTTTCTGTACCAATCTTCAAAACTCCAAATCATATTCATTTCGTATAAGTGATCTTGATCAAATTTTCGAAACCCACAACGTTTGTTACCCAACAAGATCCAGCATAAATTTTTTCATGAATATGATTTCAGTATAAGTTTAATTCGAATCCCAAAGTTACTTTAAATAGTTTTCAAAGCACACTTGTCAATGACTACACTGGTTACACAACTAATTTCTGTTACAATTACTCACCTTATGTTAAGGCTGATATGTAACGAAATTGTTTTTAGCCATCCACGTAACTTTACAAAAGATGCCCTTCGAAACTTATCTACAAGTTTTCGATTGTATTTCACGGGAACATACACGAGTTGTTGATTATCTCTCTTGATAATTAACAAAGCAACCTTTGCTTGGGATTTAACTGCCTTCGTGTCAAATTCATTTTTGACATCACAAATATCTAAAAAAAATATTTCTTTTTGATCTTAATTCTTTGACACAATGCACACACGAAATCCTTGAGCTTCTGAGTAATACTAACTCAGGCTGATGATTTCGAATCTCTAGCAAATGAACTTACTTTAAAACCCAAAAGTAAAAGAGCCTAACCTCCATCCGAAGGGTTCTGACAGTTACAATTCCATTGGGTTAATAAATACATGCCGTTTGAGAAGACGTTTTATATTACTTCCGGCTTTCAAGGTGATGTGACAGTTACTTTTTGACACGTGGTTACTTTATCATCATCATGATGCGCTTTTCTCGGTGACACGTCAGCAAACATTAAATGCTTATCCCGCTTTGATTTCAAATTGAAGAGTTACATATAAAAGGGGATACAAGGGTTAATGATCTATTTACGCTTTCTTCATTTCAAATACTCTCTGTGAATCAAATTCTCTCTGCTCATCGTTTACTTCAAAACCCTAAAAATGGCGAATGTTGCAAATGTTACGGCTGACCCTTCTCACACAACGGATGATGTTACTATTCTGCCAATCATGAAGATTCAGGGTACCAATTATCAGGTGGAATCCAATGTTTCATTGTATCCTGAAGAACTTAAAATGCTGATAGTTGCTATGCAAAACTCTATTTTATCAAAAGCAATGTTCAACTCCTTTTCTGTTCCTCTCTACTGGTTATCACAAGCCGGATCCACTGCCACATATTCTAAAGAATTGATGTTGTTACATTTAATCTAATCAATGATAAAAAGGTTAGATTGACACAAAAGCTCTTCTGCAAGATTCTCGATATCCCAAATTCTCCACCATATGTTTCTTTTACATTTTTTCAAATCGTCCACATGTTTAATTAAATGGGTCATCAACCCCAGTTAACAAAAATAAGTGACTTTAAGAAGTCGGGGCTTCCATGTGTGTGGAATTTTCTTTTTAGGATTTTTCTCCGTTGTTTAAATGGAAGAACGGTGGGACTTTATAAGGGCAGAATGGAGGTATACACCATGGTAGCAGGGCTATATTATGATATCCAAGTGGACTACTCTACTCAACTCTGGAAGGAATTTCAAAAGAGTATCGAGAACACGAATGTTGTTCATGGCATTTCCTATGCTAGGTACTGGAGCTTGATTTTGCAACATTTCTACGATAAAGAAGGGATTTTAGTTCCAGCTAATGAGGAAAAGGTTATGTTCCATATATATAATTGCCCGAAGGATGCAACGGATGATTTGGGTGAGTTTCCGTTTGCAGCTTGTATCCCCGATGCGATGCTAAAGAGAGTTGATCCTTTGAACCCAGTCTTGGTTTCTTACATAGCACCTATTGATACTTTTGTGGAAACTGGGATTCTTTTACCACTGATATCCAAAAAGAAATCAAAGAAGTCGAAGAAAGCTGATGTTGGGTCTTCGGATACAAAATTTAAGTCTTCCAAGAAAGTGAAGCAGGTTCCTATGATTGAACCTGAGCCAATTCAGCCAGACCCGATTATTCCTGATACACAGGTCACTGAAAAGGAAGTCATTCCTTCGAAGACTGGTGTATTCACACGAATTAAGATGAAGTCAAAGGGTAAGAGAAGATCATTAGCTACGACTGTTCGTAAAACACAAGTATCTCATCAAGGGGTCATTTTTCGGGAAATTCCTGCCCTTGTGTCTCCATCATCAAAGAAGAGAATGGCTACTGACATGGCTAAGCATATTTCTAAGAAGAAGCAGCGTAAGTTAGTTCTCTCTTCTGATTCTACAACTGATGAGGTAGACGTTATTCCAGAGACTCCAGAAACAGTTCTTCTCAAAGAATCTTCTAAAGCTGATACTTCTGTGACTCAACCACCCAAAGTTTCGATTGCCAAAGACAGTTACTGTGGAGGCTCGAAGTTTAGACATCACTGTAAACATATCTGATATAGATACAAATGTCATCATGTGTGAGAATAATTTGAATGATGCAGTTAAAGGTAACCCTTTGAATGTGATTTCATAATCTCTCATTTCTTTACCTTCTCAGACTAACCCTATTATTCCTACAACATCTACCACTGATTCTCCCACATTTACTCACATTAGTTCACATCCATTCACAACCCTCTTTTCATCACAATCAAATGATCCACCTACCACCACCTCTCCACTGAAAGATGCATTCCTAGAAACTAAAAATGAATCAGAAGGCTTTGGGGGAACATTTGAAAACTTGGAGTTTGATGAGGAGGAAACTGACTTCCCGGATCATATGCTAATGATGATGAAACAGTTTAAGATTTTCAATACAAAGCTCAATTCAATTACTCAATCTCAAGCTGACATTGGGGGAAATCATGTTGTATCAAGCCTGGAAGTTGATGGTTTGTTGTCATTGCTGGAAGGGAGGTTGACAACTAAAGTTTCAGGAATGATTCAAGATTCTGAGTCCCGTTTAATGGACAAGATAGATCTTTCTGATAAAAACAATGAGTTACGGGTGAAGTCACAAAAATCTGTTTTTTTATCAACCTTACAAGATTTGAAAGTTGTAGCAAAAGAACGACATGTGCTATTCATTCAAGATGTTAAGAAAGTACGAGAAGATGTAAATTTCAAAATTCGGGAATTATGTTAAGATATGGAGAAGTAAATTTAAGTTATTCGTACTGAATTCGAATCCATCAACAAGAAGGTGGATATTATATGCGAAGTTGTTACAAAATTTGCGAAGCTCTATGAAAGTCTGAGTCCACAGATTACTCAACTTTCAACAACTGATAATAAAAATTTCATGGAAGTATTCGCACTTCTTAAAGAGCTCAAAAGTCTATCTTTCAAGCTTGTTTCATCCACAATATCTTCGGAAGATTTGATCCATAAATTTTCAAAGTTCAAAGAATTACTGGTCCAGCAACTGGCTCCTTTATCCCGCATTTCCTGTCTTCTTCCAACTACGTATGCCCCGCCTGCTAGCACAGGGGTGCAAGGGGGAGAAAAAATAATGGCAGGAACGAAGACAGGAGGAGATTCGAAGGTTGTGGGGAAAGTATTTTTAACAAATATTCCATCAACAAAACCAGTCATTGCAACAATTGGTCCAATCTCTTCAACAGTTGTCACTACTGTGCCTTTCACAAAACCAAAAGGAATTGTGATTGGTAAAAATACTGAAGTTGGAGGGAGTGGATCCAAATCGAAAGAAAATATTGATGCATCTGGTGCTAAATCAAAGGGAAAAGAGATACTGATTTAAAAATCAAAGGAGGAGAAGAAGGCAAAAGTAGAAGCAGAGGTTGAGAAAATGAGGATGATACAAAGTATCATGACTCAAAGAGCAAGCGACCCTCCTTGTTTGAATAAGGGTGATCCTACGAAGC